TAGTACTAAGTAAGTTAAACCTTCTCTCAAAAGACTACAAGTAGTAGTGCTATCTTAGTCTCCAAGTCAGCCTGAACAAGGAGTAGTTTAGCCCATGTATACATGATGCCAGATTGATATCTTTGAGGCTGTAGGTTCAACTACTCAAGTCTTCTGACCCTGACTGAAGTGAACAAGTCTCTGAACCCTCAGAGTGCTCTTCAGGGGAAGAATCATAGCTCCACCAAAATATCCCCCTGGGATTTCCAGTTAATAAACTAACAGGACTGGGAAAGACCCCTGCTTGAGATCCTGGAGACCTGCCATACCAGAGTAGATCACACAGAGAAGGACTAACACAGAATAAGAGAGTTTTATAATATTCATTGGCAAAAACTCTGCTTTATCAGGTGGTTTCAAATTCATGGGAGTTTCCACTTAGACTATTCATCATAAATTCCAGGCCAGTGTATTTCCTGGTCCCTGCATTTTTAATAAGAAAGACACTGTATATGCCACTGTTCAAACAAATGCAAAGTCCCTCTGCAGAGGTCCTAGGATGCTGTATGTTTTTCATAACTTCTGTGTTCCACACAAGAAAGGGAAGCAGGGATTAAATGAGAGGCAAATTTAATTTTTCCCTGCCTCTTTCCCACAGACAGTTCTTTATAACACAGTGGCATAATAATACAGGATTGCATCCAATCAACTGCCAGTGGAAGGCACTGACACATGCAGGTTTTCCCCATTTCCCCTTTCCTCCAAAAGGTCCATTTGAACCCTGAAAAGAGCCTCTTTCCCACAGACAGTTCTTTATAACACAGTGGCATAATAATACAGGATTGCATCCAATCAACTGCCAGTGGAAGGCACTGACACATGCAGGTTTTCCCCATTTCCCCTTTCCTCCAAAAGGTCCATTTGAACCCTGAAAAGACGCCTTTTTGGTTCAAGTGGATCCAGCAACTCCATCATCTTTCCAGGAGGGTCAAAGGAACAGGAGGGCATGCCTAAACTGGGCACGCCTAAACATATTTGTTTCAAAGGACTCCATCTTGCCCAATTCTGTATGGTCATTCCCATTAAGAAATACCTTCTACTTACTAGACATTGTCTAGGAACAAAGTTATTAAAATATTAGTAACAAACAGAAAGGTTTACATCCTCTACCTAGATCGTAACATTATGCTACTTGTCTGGTTCAAACGAAACAAGATCAACCTTTATTATTTCCCCAAAAAACTCAAAAAGACAAACTAATCCCCACAATACTGTTTTACCACTGGGATAAAATTTGACTGTCAAATAATCTGTATGTACTTATATAATTCAAATACTTACCATCCTTCGCTTCTGATCTATGTCCAAGTTTAATCTAAAACCAGAATTGTTTATATTTATTAAGGCAACACTGCTAATTACAAATTTATTTACTTCATTTATGCTCTGACTTTTTCCCCAATTGGGACGCAGAATGGCTTATATTATTTGCCCCTCTACAATGATCTGGCATGTGTCACCCACCAAGCTATCATGGCAAAGTGGGTATTCGAACTGGGGTCTCCCACATCCTAGTCCGATACTCTGTTAAACCACACTGGAGGTCAGCAACTGCAGCAGTCCTATAAATCTTAACAGACTGAGAAGCTTTCTGGGGCCAATGAGAAGTGGTTTTAAATAACAAGCAACATACTGAAACAGCTGATGACCCAGCCCTAGCCCCTGTCCAAAACAAAGAAAGTATATTTGTGCAGTAGAAAAGAGCAAAAGTCCAGTAGCACCTTAAAGACTAACAAAACATGTGGCAGGGTGTGAGCTTTCCTGAGTCACTTCTCAGTTCTTCAAATACAGCTAGATCCAGTCCATCAGTCCTATTTATTGGAAAGTGGAGCGATTTCAGATTAGCAGGCAAATGACAATAGGAGGCATGATTGGATTAGGTGAGATATCAATTCAGCAATTGATAATGAAGCTCAAAACAATGCATCTACCTGGACTGAACTGAGACCTAGGTTTCCTGTCTCATTACCAATGCTGATTTCTCCACGCCTATTACCCCTCTGCAGTGGGAGGGGGCCTCTTTGTGCGCATGCGCCGTTGGGTGCTTGTGCGCATCCTGTGGAGACTTAAAAAAACCAAACCTCTCCTGACGGGACATGGGCAGGCGCCGGATGCCACGGGATTCCACTGGAAAAGCGACCAGGCGTCCACCCTTGCCCTGCAGTTTCCAGAAACTAGTACCTCCGAGGTACTAGTTTTTTACCGCGCATCTTCGGCGGGAAGCCTCGGGTGAGCCACGGGAGCTCTACGCTTCCCAGATGTGATGCTATGATCGCGCCTGGAAAATCCGCCTATCTTCCATCTCTGTAGCATGGCTAATGTTCCATGTGACCGGGGCCCTAGAATGATGAGCCTGACCTGAGGTTTTCTTGCCTCTAGAAGCCACGGTCCCTGGAGACAGGGGTCCTGAGCAGATGGACAGCGTGGTTTGCCTAACAGTTTAGAAACTTATATAATGGCTTCTTAACTAGGTGGGGTGGAAGACATGCTTTGATGTGATGTAAGAAATGAGCAAAAGTCAAGTACTTACTTTTTTAATAGCAACAATTTGATTTGTGTTTTTGTCTCTTGCTTTGTAAACAGTTGCAAACTGAAGGGAAAAAACAGTAAAATTTCAGTTTTCTAATGATAGAGATAATTAAAGTGTAACTATACTTTATTCAAAATATATAGAATATATTTATTCTATGCCACTTTCCCATCCAAATAGGGCTCCCAAGGCAGCAAACCTCAAAACATTAAAACACACAGGATGACAGCTGGAAATACACAGAGATTCATAGCAGTCAACATACTTCTGGTATAAAGACATGCTTATGTGTTCATCACATAGCTCTACAGTGGGAGAACTACATTGCTAGGGAGAGTTGCTTGAGCTGTCTGTACCGAAAGCTCAAATGCCTCTCTAGAAGATAGATATTTATCTTTCACACCTATAAATACACATACACTTCTAGGTGCTGGCAAAGCTCTTTTAAAATTGCCGGTAACAGAATGTAGGGCAGGGAGGTTTTCGAGGATATTATTAACCAGTTATAAACAAGTTCTTAACTTTTGAAACAGCATAAGACAGAACAAACTTCTGCAGGATAAAGCAATACAGCAAGAACCGCCGAACATTCAGCAAAATACGGGTGGGTGGGAGAGCACTCAGAAAAAAACCTCAGGCTATTACAAGGTGGGGGGTACACGTTGCTACTTTCATGCATAGTGTACTTGGGGAAGTACAGACAAGGGGCAAGAGGGTATTTGTAAAAAATACGCACCCTGTATTTTCATACGCTTCTGCCCCAGTTCGCCCAGAGCCTTGTGCACGCTGCACACCTGCCCCCCCCCCCTTTTCTATCATGCAACCCTCCGACGCTCCGATTTACCTGCCCTTCACCCAGAAAGGCCAACTTTTCGTAGCGCTTGGCTCGCGCTCGCGCGTCCATTCCGGTAACAGAGGAGGGGGGAAGTGAAGGGTGATTTAACACCGTCCCTACAGGAGCTCCAAGCCGCTTCCGGCTTCCTTCCCCGCCCGCCCTCACGTCATGAAAAATCAGCTTGCTGCGCACGCGCCAATCTGTGACCAATGAATTTCCTTCCTTAGGCTTCCGCCCAGACCTTAGCAACCGTCTCTACAATAAAACCAGACACTTCCTGAAAAGAAGCCCCGCCCCTTCTCGTTCTTCGAGCTCCTTCTTCGCAGACGCTCGCCGTGACATTTTATCATAGGCGGAAATGAGGCGAGCTCTGGAACGTTTCCGCTCGTTCCCGGGCAGATTTTGTTTGCCGCTTTGTTAAAGCCGCAGGACCGAGTGTGTGATCTGCGACTGCAGCTTGTAACATCAGAAATAAGTGGGTGCTGCTGCCTGATTAATTTATGGTGGCTGCGGCCGCCTATCCTATTTACCGCCTTGCCTTTCTTGCATCGTGGAAAGTTCCGTGGAGGTTTCCCGTCCAAGTATGATTAGAACGGGTTAGAACAGATAAAAGGAAGTACTTCTTCATCCAAAGAGTGATTAACACATGGAATTCACTGCCACAGGAGGTGGCGGTGGCTACAAGCATGGACGGCTTCAAGAGGGAATTAGATAAACATATGGAGCAGAGATCCATCAGTGGCTATTAGCCACACGTTATAGATAGGAACTCTTGGTCTGGGGCAAGTGATGCACTGTATTCTTGGTGGTGGTGGGGGCAACAGTGGGAGAGCTTCTGGTGTCCTGGGCCTGGCCTCACTGATGGATCTCCTGATGGCATCTGGTATTTTTGGCCACTGTATGACTGAGTGTTAGACTGGATGGGCCGTTGGCCTGATCCAACATTGGGTTCTCTTATGTTCTTCTTGTTCAGTTGCACAGTTGAGTCTGACTCTTTGCGACCGCATGGACCACATCAGGGCGGGTCCTCCTGTCTTCTGTTGTGCTCCGGAGTTTGCTGAATCTCATGTTCCTTGCCTGGATAACACTGTCTAACCATCTCATCCTTTGCCATCCCCTTCTTCTTTGACCTTCAGTCTTTCCTAGCATCAGGGTCTTCTCCAGTGAGTGCTCCCTTCTCATTTGGTGGCCAAATGATTTGAGCTTGTTCTTATATGCTCCTTATATGCGATGGAACAGCTCAGGAGGTTGTTTGTATAAGGGAGTAAAATTGTGGTCAATTGCAATGTTTCTTGCATGTACCATCTTCTTGTTACTGTGTCGGCTTCCACCTTTGCAACCCGCTTTCTAGTTCAGGGGTGGCCAAACTTGCTGAACGTAAGAGCCACATAGAATAAATGTCATGTTTGAGAGCCACAAGACATGAACAAATATTACACGTTTTAATAGGAAATATGCAAATTTGCTTTTTATTAACATTAGACTGCCAAAATAACAACAGCTGTAAAAGCAGATATTGATAATATTTATTTGTCCAGTTATATTTGTTTGCTAATGATATTTAGCTTCCTCAACTGCCCTGCTGGGAGCCGCACAATAAGTGTGAAAGAGCCACAGTTTGGCCACCTGTTAGCCGAATTGCTTTATCTACAGCAATTGGCAAATTTTATATGGGTTCTTGCCAATGTCTACCAAGGTCCAGCTCCCCCCAAGGGTTACCAGTAAAAGGAGTCAAGGCTGGTGTTGTTCAAAATAACTGTCTTTTAGTTAAGAATATATAAATCACATACAAACAACACTGATGCACTCACACATTCAATCAAGTTTCTTAGAAATACAATTAAAATAGTCACTTTTGCATTAGCAGGTAGGGTGATGATGGGAGATACTTATCTGTCCTGAAGCTTGTCAGTTCCAATGAAGAATGGATGGGAAGAAATAGAATCTAGGGAAGTTTATCACACAGCTAGAACCAGCCAGCTTGTGTGGACCATAGAGGCAAGGATTTGGGATAGAAAGCTGGACAAAAGGGGAGTTAAAGCAGACAGGGGGTGTTGCAGGGTGTGTAGCTAGCAAGGGCCAGGTGACTGGTCCTTTTATAGCTGGTTCTTTGGGTGGGTGGCAACTGTGCCAACCTGTGGACCCACCTACCTGTTAGTCCGTCCCAAAACTAATTCTATTGGTTGCGTGCAGTAAGGGGTGGCAACCTAGAGGGTTGGGCAATATTGTAACTTAAGATCTAACTCAAAGGATGGCATCTGGGCAAGTGTGAAACTTGGCGTCAAGGAACCTCCTTGAAGTGCAGATGAAGCTTGGCCATTCTCTGGTCATAAAAGGTCCATCTAGCAGGAAATGCCAATGTGAAATAAAGTAGAGATGCAGAATATGTGACAGCAGACAGTTTCAACAATGGGGGTGCTTCTTCCTTAAGTTGCTGTTTTGCTGACAACAATGGAGATGTGTGCTTTCTCACCAGGCTGATGCTGTGTATCTGAAACCTCATTCACATGTATGCTGATGTATGCACCTTCTATGTGTAGTATCACAACAGGTGATTTATGCAGCTTTCTGAGCCTAGTGTATGTGTGAGCACAGTCCATTTGTGTGTGTGTAGCAGCAAACATAAATCCATAAAGCAAATATCAATCTCAGTCCTTAACACACCCCTGTTCTAGTTTGTGTCATAACAATGCCTTAGGCTGTTTGTTGTTTGTATTGTTTACTGGAGGTTCTTGCCGCCTGATCGATTTTTTAAAGAAAATTTTATAATCTGCCTTGGAGTCTCAGTGAGAAAGGTGGGCTACAAGTGAAGTAAATAAAGTTTCCTTTATGATAAGCTGTTAAGTAAATTAAATGGGTGAAATTATGTGTTGATATAGGTTTGAGAAAAGAACTGATTATGGTAGGGCAAAGCAAACAAATGCAAACAATTACAGCATATTTTACAAAGGCTGGCAAAGTCTCGAAAGTACAAAATTACCTGTGTGGTATCCTTTTAGAACAATAATTTGCACACTAATCTCCCTTATATATAAAAGCCGAATGGTGGTGGCACTTCTCTAGAACATTCCACACACGCCGGAATTGGTTGACGCCCTGGTGTGTCACTCAGAATCTGTCCCTATCCACTGGCTGCATTGCTTGAGTCTCGCCTCCAACATTCTAAACAGTTTGCTGCCCCCCCCCCCATAGCCAGTCAGAACACAGAGGTTATTTGCATATGCAGCCTCATTGCCCTTTGCCTCGGAACACAGAGGTCGTTTGCATATGCGACTTGATTGGCTTTTGCCTCTAACATTCTAAACAGTTTGCTGTTCTGAGGTAAAATGTGTCCAATCTCCAGGTGAGGGCTGGAGATCACTCAGAATTACAACTGCTTTCCAGATGGCAGAGATCAGTTCCCCTGGAGAAAATGGTGGGCTCTGTATCCTTATATGCTGCTGAGGTGGCCCCCGTATGACAGCCAATGTGACATAGCAGTCAGGGCTTCAGAGCACGGGAGAGGCTGCAGGTGTGTGGGGGGTGGAAAGCTGAAGAGTGAGGGGGAAATAAAGGTAGGTTGATGATTGGCTGGGAAGGAGATAGGGTTGCCAACTCCTGGTGGGAAATTCCTGGAGATGTGAGGGATAGAGCCTGGAGAGGGTGAGGTTTCAGGAGGCGTGGGACCTCGGACAGGTACAAAGCCATAGACTCCACCCTCCAAACCAACCAATCTCCAGGTGAGGGCTGTAGATCATTTAGAATTACAACTGTTCTTTAGGTAGTAGAGATCAGTTCCTCTGGAGAAAATGGTGGGCTCAGTGTCATTATACCCGGCTGAGGTCACCACAGCAAATTGACACTGAGTGTCCAAGGCCGGGGCACCCGCCCAGAGCCTCTTTCTAGAGGCCGTTGTATTTATTTCCACAACGGGCCTTTTTCCTAGTGCATCCGCCCAGAGCCTCTTTCTAGAGGCCGTTGTATTTATTTCCACAACTGGCCTTTTCCCTAGTACTTTTATAAGGCTACACTTCATTTGGGAGGAAAATCCAAAATACGGAGTTTATGGCTGTCAGCATTAGTCATTAGACACATTCTAGGAAAACAAGTAGACTGTAGTTAAAAAAATATAGTCCTGTGGCACCATAAAGACTAACTAGTGTGTGATGTGAGCTGCTGTAAATTCTGATTCTCAAGATACATCTGATAAAGTAGGCTAGTCTATGAAAATATATGCCATGATAAACGTGTTGTTTCTAAGACAGGTTTTTTTAGTGAAGCATTGTTTTTGTTGTTCAGTCGCAGTCGAGTCCGACTTTTCGTGACCCTATGGACCAGATCACGGCAGACCTTCCGGTCTTCCGCCGTCCTCTGAAGTTTACTCAATTTCATGTTCGTTACATCTATGACACTGTCTAACCATCTCATCCTTTGCCGTCCCCGTCTTCTTTGTAGAATTGGAGTTCCTCAGCTGGCTGTAGTTTTATTTCTCCAGCAAAATACTTCCATTCCTTTCATTGTATGAAAACATATTTCCTACCTAAAATTATCCTAATGAAAGCAGAACAAAAACTGCTTTCTTGCATTTTTTCATCATTATTCCTAGTCAATGAAATCCTACATAATGGTTTATATTGTTTATTGCTTCCTTTTTGGTGTAACAGCTTCCCACTGAAAAATAAAATCAAGACCACTCACAAATTTGTCTGAGAACTTCACAGACATATTTATAAATTGCTTCTAGAGCATATGACTAATAGGTATCTTGGGCAAGATCTGGAGTTCCTTTCCCATAGCAGGTTGTGCCCAGACATCTTTCACCTTGTTAAGAAATCTATTTGTGATGTCCACTCTACCATTACAGAAACAGGAAGGTGTTCAGAGTCCAGTCCATTGACTTCCAAATGATCAGTAATAGTACTGCTAATCATCTGTGAGTTTATATCCAAAAAGAATGCTATACGTGCACTCTGCTTGATGTTCTTTGTCTCTTCCCCACAGTAGCAAAACAGCAGACTGTGCAGAGACACCTAATACCATAAGGTAAACATATCAATTGCTAGGATAGTGTGCTACGATTTTCCATTCTAATGAATAAGACAGGGATAAGAAATAGATTGGACAACCTTTTACTGCTTTAGTATGCTGGTAGTTTTTTGTACATTCTGCTTATGGTACCCCGTTCAACCTGGACAGCCTCTTTATCTCTATCTCAGAAGTAATTTCCATTGTCACTAGCAGAGATGGAAGAGTTAGAAAAATACGGGAGATATTGCCACACAGCTGGCAATGGAAGCATTCATACCAATCCATCAAACAATTCTTTTCACAAGATAAAAATTTCGGTCACAAAATTAACAACATAAATGTATTACATAATGGTTAGAACTGTGGGGGGCTGCACTTCTATCTTTCATAATGTTCTTCAGTCTAAACTTACATTTTTTTTACACAAATAGGCTGTACTATCAAAAAAAGTTGCACATATGGAAACAACTTAACAAAAGCAAAGCAGCAGCTCATGGATCAATGGCTTGAGAAGTCAGAGTCAACATTCAGAACGAGCCTTACACAATGATAATAATGATAAGCCACGTTCATTCTGGCCTTTCCTAATAATTATAGTTATTACAAACGCAAGTGAGGTGCCTCCCAGAATCTTTTAGTTATACAATCTGTTGCTGCTCTTTGCCAGTGAATTCCTTCATATGCAACATGTAAGTCGGGATGAGTCTTATTTTACACCCTGTTCTGCCAGTCTGTTCTGGGTGTAGCAGTTTTAGCAGTTCTTCCCAGGTGAATACCCCACTGATCCACCCAAAGAAAATAATCCATCCTTTGTACGTACAGATCATAATACTTTATCCTGAAACAAATGCACATAATTTACACATCAGAGCTCATGAGACATTTCTGAGCCCATAAACTACTACCAATATTAACTGGTTGACAATTTTTCAAAAAGGAAGACAATCTAGTAAGTATGTTTGTATGTTGGTGCTGTCTAAAAAGAAAAGCCTCAACACCTTTGCAACTCCAGTCAATCAGAATCAACTAGAGACAGACAGATTTGAGGTAATTCTTGCATATTTTGGAAAATGCAAAATTAGAAATCTAGCAGAGCAACATCTTTTAATCTCTGACCAAGGGAAAATTTAAGATACTGTTCCTTATATATTGCTCCATGAGCCAGCTTCGGTCAGGCTCATTGTAAATGTGTCCTATCAACTTATTCCTAGCCACAGAAACCATTTAATACAATTACTGTGTAGTACACCCAGGCATCATTTGACTACTGCCCCATTGATGTTGCCCAGCTTGAAGTAACTTGCCCTAGTCTAGTTTTGCATTACTGGTATAGTTGTGATTACTTTGATTTTAAACACACAAAAAGGGGGAGGGGGTGACTACCTCTCGGTCAGACAATTTTCCTAAATTTATACTGCACCAGTGTGCTGGGGGGGGGGGCGAAGAGAAGAGATTGGGAGCTCAGTTAGACAGTTAAAAGCCAGTTTAAACCATCTGACCAGATCTTTGGTTTGGATTGTGCGATTCATCAGTGGAAGGCAAATATGGCTCCAGATCCTCCCTTGCTTTCCTCTCCCACCCAGCAGTCTCTCCCGACCCTGGAAAAACCCACTCCTAGGGTTGCAGGACCTGTGCAGGGTAATACAGATCAGTGGGCTGTAGTGAGGAGGGGAAAGGGGGCAAAATTGTCCTTCCTGCATCAGCAGAGTTGCACGGCACTCATCCTCTTCTGCCACCTCACTGCAGCCAAAGACACGGCTATTATTACCTGTGGGTCCCATGACACTGAGAATTGGCTTTGCTGGTAGTGGAAGAAACTGCTGAGGGAAGAGAAAGCAGGGGAGACTCACAATCCTTGTGTGAGCTCTGGATAAGGTCCCTGATATGCTTTAAATATGCTTAAAACCCACATTTTTAGTGCAGTTTCCAGTTTCTTAAGACTTTATTCAAAGAATGCCACTATAAACATCCTAACAGGCGGCAACAATAATTCATGGACTCCCCAGATAGTAACTCTGAAATACTTAAAAGGTCAGAGTCCCATCCAACTGAGGCCAGACTGAGCCCTCACGCATGAAGAAGTTCTGTGACCCCTGCCTTCCCTCCACCCAACACGAGCACACCGGTCCATATGAGGCAGTGTGAAGGAGCACTGAATGGGAGGTTTGTGCTCACCTTCTATATTCCCACCCTGCCTTCCTTTTGTATACCATGCTGGCTGCTTGTACATCAAAGCACAAGTCATTTCTACAGCACAGAAGAGGAAGTGGGGTAGGACAGGCATATAGGAAGTATGCACAAATTCTCATGGCATACCCTTGCTTTGTGTGCAAAGTCATATGCAGAAAATAAGGTCTTCTGTCATTTCTCTATGCAAGGCAACACATGCTCAACTGGATCAGGTCCCAAGGATTCCCAAGTATTTGTTTTACCGAAAACAGAAGGCTGATGAATCTGCAATAAATGTGTTTGTAACAAACTTTAATATGTCCAATAATCACTAACATTGACAAATGCTGTCTTAATGTCATCACCACTCTTAAAACTTGTGTGGGGGGGAGACCCCAAAAGAAGAAGAGTTGGTTTTTATACCCTGCTCTTCACTACCTGAATGAGTCTCAGAGTGGCTTACAATCACCTTCCCTTCCTCACCCCACAACAGGCACCTTGTGAGGTAGGTGGGGCTGAGAGAGCTCTGAGAGAACTGTGACTGACCCAAGGTCACCCAGCTGGCTTCATGTGGGGGAGTGGGGAATCAAACCTGGTTCTCCAGATTAGAGTCCACCGCTCTTTAACCACTATGCCAAACGACACCAAACCAACCCACCTGAAGAACAGAGGTAAAAACCTCACTTTTTACAGCCAGATAGGCATTACAAAAAAAGAGGAAACAGGAAAACTGGCAGTCTGCTGAGATGCAAAAGAAATTTTGCTATCAGAGATCCTGGATTCTTCCTTATTGCCTCAATGAGATATTAAAAATTATAGTACTGAGCATATTAATAAAATAAATTTTAATAGTGTGGTGGCAATAAAGTAGAAATATACTCAGCCAGAACTGTCTTCTTATTTGGGATATATACACTGTTTCAGGCATTTACACCTTTCCATTCCTCATAAAAAAAGGCCTTTAACAAAGCTATTTGCCTACAGACATTTATAACATCCAAAGAATTATAAAGGCCTTTATTGTGAATAGAATAATTGGTTGTTCAGCAGTAGCTAATAGTCTGGTCTTCTGTATTATTCCGGACCTCCACGCTGTAAAAGAAAATATTATATATTAATCTTTTAATCAGTATATATTCCTATGTATTTAATTATAATTTGGGCTTTCTTTGCACTTGTTAACCCACTGATATAATGCTTAAGTTCAAGAGGAATACAGAACCACACAAAATCATGTGTCACCATTTGGATCTTTCCTCCATCTGTTGTTTATGGGTCTTGGTAGATTTAGGGTAGCCTGTCCATCCCACTCTGCCACCCAGAAGTGTTCGTTTGATTCCCTAGGACAGTGGTACTCACTCCACAGATCACAAAGAGCCACATCCACCATCAACCAAAAAAGCCTATGCATTGTGCTCAAAGTTATTCAATAGGTCTGGTTGACTGAACTGAGGCTATTATACTTGGGTCATGTCCTGAGAAGACAAGACTCACTGGAAAAGACAATAATGCTAAGAAAAGTTGAAGTCAATAGGAAAAGAGGAAGACTCAACATAAGATGGACTGACTCACTAAAGGAAGTCATGGCCTTCCGTTGACCTGAGCAAGGCTGTAGAATGCCTTGGAGATCATTAATTCATACCATTGACGTAAGTCAGAAGCGATTTGATAGCACATAACATGCAAAGGTAGAAACCTGGGCAGCAGAAGGTGCCGTAACTTAATTTTACTTCAGTGTGCACTTTAAAAGCACAGCCTGGCTCACAAGGTGTCATTGTTTTCCCTCGCATACCAGCTTAGTGCAAAGAGCTCTACCACAGTTCAGTGGCACAAAGCTGCCCAGACTTTGCATATCATTCCTAGAGGCAGAACAAAACCGTATTCCACCCCAACTGCATGCACTACATGACACAAGAGGGTGACCCCAGTCTCCCCTGTCACTGCAAAGGCTCCTGAAGTGCATGTCTCAGATTATGAACTGCTTCACTGGCAGCCTTGTAAACATTAGGATTGTAAACAGCCAGATGCACCTGCACAATTTCTACTTGTCAGGCAACTCTTAGAACCAGTTTGGTGTAGTGGTTAAGTGTGCAGACTCTAATCTGGGAGAACCGGGTTTGATTCCCCACTCCTCCACATGCAGCTACTGGGTGACCTTGGGTCAGCCACAGTATTGCACAGCTGTTCTCTTGAGCAGTTCTCTGAGAGGTTTCTCAGCCCCACCTGCTTCACAGGGTGTCTGTTGTGGGGAGAGGAAGGGTAAGAGATTGCAAACCACTCTGAGTGAAGGGCGGGCTATAAATCCAATATCTTCTTCTACTCTCCTTCTTAAAGGCACAGGAGGCACCAGCAGACAAAAGGTGAGCATTCTTAGTAAGACATCACAGAGGCTGCAATCCTTAGAAAAAGCTCCTGGGAGTAAGTCCCATGGCATAAAATGGGAGTTCCTTCCAAGGAGACGTACTTAGGATTGGCTCCTGAAGAACTGTGTTCAAGATAATCTGAGAACAGACTCTCTAGTTTCTGGCCAAGAAACTTTCCATGTTAAGCCACAATCCAGTAAAGAGTTAAGAATATTTTTGTGAATATTTTTGTCTCTTGAGTTAATTGTAGGTTTGGTTTTGGATTTGTGAGGATTAGCTGCCAACTCTTCATAAAGAGAAGAAAGCTCTCTGCAGCAAATGTTGAGGGAAGAAAGGCAGACAGGCACATACAGCATACAATAAGTTAAGGCTTCGTTTGTGTCAGACTTATTTATTTATTTATTTATTAGATTTTTACCCTGCCCTTCCAGCAGAGCCGGCTCAGGGCAGCTTACACAACCAGTATAAAACACTGCAAAATGTGACAATAAAAACTACAATATAAAAACCATCAATACACAGTTTAAAACTATAAATATTACAACATATTAAAGTGCTAGTGTTCAATCCTCGGCGTACAGTCAGCTTCTTGATATTCCCCAAATTTCCGGGTGGTCCGCTCGAGCTGTAATTGTGGGACCCAGATGGTCGGGCTTGCTCTTCATAGGCTGTCAGATAACAATGGTGGCAGTGGTGGTGGCGGCTCCAAAAGCCTGGCGGAAGAGCTCCGTTTTACAGGCCCTGCGGAACTGTCCCGCAGGTCCCTGATCTCCTCTGGGAGCTCATTCCACCAGAGTGGAGCCGCCACCGAGAAAGTCCTGGCCCTAGTTATCACTAGCCTGGCCTCCTTGATGTTCGGGAGGACCAACCGATTCCCGACTGCAGTGCTCTCTGGGGGGAAAGGCAGTCCCTCAGGTATGAAGGTCCCTGGCCATAAAAGGCTTTAAAGGTGATAACCAGCACCTTGAACCAGATCCGGTATGCTATAGGCATCCAGTGCAGTGCTTTAAGGGTGGGCTGGATGTGTTCCCACACAGGAAGACACAACAGCAGCCTCGCCACTGCATTCTACACTAGCTGCAGCTTCTGGATCTGGGACAAGGGCAGCCCCATGTAGAGGGCATTACAGTAATCCAATCTCGAGGTGACCAATGCGTGGATCACTGTTGGCAAGTCGTTGCGTTCAAGGAAGGGAACCAACTGCCTAATCAGCCTGAGGTGGTAGAAGGCCGACTTGGCAGTGGCTGCTACCTGGGCCTCCATTGTTAAGGAGATGTCTAGGAGCACTCCCAAGCTCCTAACCTCCAGCGCAGGCACCAGTGGCGCCCCATCGAAGATCGGGAGTGGGATCCCTACCCCCGGACTGCTCCGACTCGGGCACAGGACCTCCGTCTTTGTCGGATTCAATTTCAGCCGGCACAGCCTAAGCCAATCAGCCACGGCTTAGTCAGCCTTCTACAGGGTAATAAAACGTCTGACACAAATGAAGCCTCAACATACCTGTAACATTATACACGCCTGCCTCTTTTCTCACTTCCACCATGAATAACAGAGAGAGAGAGAGATTAAACAGCAGAGGGGGTGGACAGAAGAGTTTGGTTTGGTGGTTTTCCTCAGGATAGAGCTGAGTGAACGTGCTCAGCAACAATCTGCTGCCTACCTGGGCTCTGTGAGCATCACAGCTAAGTAAAAGGGATGAGTCCTGGGAACAAATCAGAAAGGGGGAGGGAAAGAATTAAGATGAGAGCACCCAAGCAGCAAAGTGGTGCCCATGCATGCTGGAGTCCAGTCAGTTGTGTCTGCAGCAATTTGTAAGACAGTTCCACCAGCCTGAGGCTACAAGCCCCAGCTAGCTACAACAAGCACTGCTGAGAAGTGCACTGAAATCAGGGACAAAGAAAGTTCTACCAAGATGAAGCATTATTGGAAACCCTCTTTGCTATCTGCTACAGCTGCAGGTATGCTAGCATCGCCCTGACTCACTTGCTATCAACTCATGGGGGCTTCCTCTTATCTTCTGTCCCATCACTTTCTCCCTCTATCTCGCAAAGTTTCAGAAGAGCCATTGGTGACAAGACAGAAAGAACCATATGCAGCTCGCGAGCTGTGGAGTGCGTATCACTGTCCTGTGGTACAAGCCATGGAAAAGTAGCAAAAGGCCAGCATTTTGCAACCTCCTCCCCAAAAGACTGCAATCTGGTACCAGGTTAAAGAAAAAGAAAATTAATACGCCTGACAGCTGACGGAGCAGCAATAGAGCAGAAGGGGCTATTTAAAGCAAATGATAACTGTAGATATATGCCTTAATGGCTGTAAACTGGACATGAACACATTTCTGTTACTGTTTCTGAATGTATATATTCTCCTTTTTAGCTTAGCAACCACAAAACATAATTTAAAACAATAACCTAAAAATAATGTACTTCATTTGCAGCCACCTCCAGAATGCTCTAATAATTACATCAATTTACCATTGAAACGGGAAGTGAAATTTCCTCAGCCAATTGAACTAAATGGAGGAACCCATGTAGTGGTTTATAGTTCTATATTGTTCTAGCTGTATATCTTCCACTAATACTCCCTTTGTTTTTTGTTTTGTTTTTTTAAAAAAATTATTAGTTTTTACACACTAAAAAGAAAAACAACAACTAGAAACAAAGAAAGACTAACACAGAACAAACATGGAACTTGTACTCATTATAACTGCTTAAATCTTACATAAGTAGAATCATTCTTTTATGCACCTAAACCAATTTAACCATTTGAAGTATAGAGCTATCTTCCACTAATACTCCCTTTGTGAAGGATTACCTACATAATTTTGAGTATGCACCCTCAACCAATAGCATACAGATAGATAGCCTACCAACTTGGGGACTGGGAAGAATATTGAGCCAACTTTTATTGCATGCAGAAGCTTTTACAAGCAGTCACAACGAGACACAATAATCTCTACTTGCAAAATTACCCTCTAATTCAGAGAAATAGTTACAAGACAGGACTGTAAGCATAAACAAGAGCTAGTAATTTATTATGTAGAGGAGCCATGTCAAAGTTGTAAAGAGATAATAAATACCAAAGGAAGCTACAAATATTCTGGAACTTACTTGGATGTATTCCATCTCTTCAACTGACACAGGTTTCCTCCGGTATTTTGTAGGTAAAGTCCGTACTAGTTCTGCAGTGTCTGGCGTGCCTTGTGCTCTACTAATGGATGAAATATTTTGATAGGATGGCGGCTGACCTCCTAGAGACCTTTGTGAGGCTGAAGGATGGAGCGGAGGCACCCTTGATTCTAAAGATTCCTGCACTGAAAGACCAACAAAATAGATCCAAAACCATCTGTATTAGCACAAATATTTCAGACATCCCAGATTATGCAACTCATTATTAAAAGGCATACATCAAGAAATAAAACATTGACCAAGATATTGAGATGATCCTTGAGAGAACTGGGGTTCTAAGTTCCAAAAACACTGGAAGAATTCCCAGCATGAACACCAAAACACAGCATGGATTTTCTGAAGATAATGCCAAATCCACAGAATCGAATGATGTGTTAAAGGTATTTCAAGGGCTCAGGAAAGGGCTTTTTAAAAAGCATACAATGTTAGGCAGGGCCTAAGGTTGCAAATTATAGACTTGAGAAGATACATTGGCCATAAATTTTATTAGATCTCCACCTCTGACAGTTCTAAATAGAGGGCCTCTACAGAAATCTTCAAGGGACAAAAGATCAAATGCTTATTGCCATTTATTATAAGAGCAGCACTATATGAATTAATGTTCTGATCACCAGCATTATTCACAGTATAGGAAACATATACTGCACTTCTGTTATTGTCTGTCCAGAATTGCCTGAAGGGGTAGTGATGTGCTGCAAAAAAAAATTCACTTCTCCAGTGCTTGGAATGGCACCTCCAAAGTAACAGCAAATATTAGTTCAAAATTATTTCAATCCTAAACCAGAAAGCAAGCTTGAAATCCTGAATCAGGCTTTTAACTAAAGGTTTATCTTTCTCAGCTTTTTGAGCCTGCTTATAGGCTGAGGACTCTTTTACCAGTACCATTTTAGACTACTAAATGTTTTATGCCATTTTAATACTATGGCTGTTTTTTAATGGTTTGTTAATTTCAATGATTTTATCATTTTATACTTTGTGAGCCACCTAGAGCAGGTCTCTGGAAAGGCAACAAATAAACTTTCTAAATAAAGACATAAATGTATTTATTTACTGAAAATGTTCATACACCCCATTTTTCTCTCAACATTGTCAGGACCCACAGTAGGTAACAACAACAAATATGATATAAAAATAAATATATATTAAAATGCATTATACAATTATGCCAGAGCTCCCAAATATAAGCTCTCTTAAATAACTATTTTACAGCTTTGCTTCCAGGAGGCTGTTCCACAGCATCAGGGCAGCAACAAAATGGCTCAAGCCATAACAAACTATATTCTCAAGAGAGGGGGACTGCTAGGAGACTCACAACTACCATAAAGGCCCATATCACAAGAGACAATTCTTGAAGCGAGGGCTTTAAAGGTAACCAGCAACATCTTAAATAGGATCCACAAACAAAGAGGCAGCCAGTGAAGAGACTCTAGGACCAATGTAATTTAGTTCTAATGGGCAGCCCCCAGTAGGTAACAAATGGGCTGTTATATTTTGCACCAGCTGAAATTTTCAAATGATGTTCAAGGGCAGCTTCATGTACAGTGTATGGCAGTAATCTAGCCTTCAGGTTACCATAGTATGGATCAGCAACAGTGAAGAAACTCTCAATAAATAAAGACATTCTACCAGCCAACATCACCTTTGTTTTGCCTGGATTCAGTTTCAGTTGACCACCACACTGAGGCACTGGCAGTGCCTGCTGATTTAGTCAAAGTGAGCATACCAATGACATCCCATTTCAAAACTGCCATTGGTACTCAAAAATGTTATCTAATACAAGTATGTTTACAAAAGAGATACTTACTTATAGGTTTGGGGATATTTGTTCTGTCTGGAAACTTAATCAAGGGTGTATGTGGCTTTACTACCTAAAGAGGAAACAAGTGAAAGGAAATGGAAGATACATGAGGAAGGTAAGACAGTAATAGATGTATGAGATAAAATGTTTCTTGCCAAAGATGAAATCCAGCAAATACTGATGCTTTGCTTTCTAGTCCTTTTAATGTGTATTACAGGACTGATCAACACAGCTCTTGGAATGCAAAACCAGCAAACACATCTGAGTACACTACCATTTCTGCAGAACTGACTTACAAAAGGTAAAGATTTCAATGTATTCCTAAATTATCTCCAGAGGAAAAAAACCCATGTCAATTCATCTGCTAAGGATGCCCAGAAATAAATCCAGTGGTGGTGCTGGGCTCATTCTTGTACTATTCAAGGACAGAGATTAGCCGCATGGATGGCTAGCTAGCATTAAAGCGTAGCCTCCAATGGTCACACTGAATCATTAACACAGATTTCCCCCAAAATCTTTCCCTTTTTATCTTTCAACCCAGTTTCTGTTTCAAGGAGGCAACGGAGCGATTACATTACATCACACCCTCTTCCACCAAGGAATTTATTATGACACTTTCCTATCCTGGGCAGAGGAAGGGAAGGAAAACTAAGACGGACCTAGCCATCCTCCCTCCGCCCTAGTCATGGCCCCGGCTACAGCCCACACAAAAGCTGCTATGTGTGTGGACAGCACCCCAACAGGAAAAATGCAAGTTCAATAGCTGCTTAACGTGGTGAACTTCTGCGAAGTGACAAAGGAAAACACTGTCGAAGTCCTTGGGCACCAGCCTTGCAGAAACTACCCTCCCCAGGGCTGTCCTAGGCAAGGAGGGGACACTGGCTGTCAAAATAGGGTCCTCATTAAGCAAACAACGACTCCAGGATACGATCTCGCGCCTTTCTGCGAATCCGCCGGGGGAAAACAGCCTCTTTGCGGAGAGGCCCCAGCTCGGCCCCCACCTCCCGCACTCAGTCGGCCGGCCAACCGAACCGCTTCTCCCCACCGCCGCCACCTTTGGCCATGCAAGCCCCCGCAGCGTCCTCCTGCAGAGTTTTCCCTCCCTCCAAGGACACTGGCCGCAGCAGCACTTCCCACCCGCTAATCGCTCCGTCTCCAAACCCAGGCCTCGACACGCTCGCCCCGGCCTGGCGCACAGGCGGCACGATCTACCGCTCCGGAGGCGCCTTGCCTGACCTACCTGAACGACCCTAGTGGCGGCCGCCATCTTACTGCCCATGGTGACCCTCGGTCCAGGCCGGGGAAAGGGCGCATCCGGGCTGGGCCTTGCGGGAGGGAGGGGGCGTGGATCTCGCCAAGCCCCGCCCGGCGAAGGGCGTGACTTTGCCTAGAGAGAATACCTGGGCGCTGACTTGACAGAGCGAGGGGCGTGGCCAGAGTAGGAAGCACCTCCTCCAGCCTGGAAAACGGGACTTCAGGAAGCCGGGGGTGGGGCGAGAAGGGGGATGCGAACTAGAGCTGGCAAGTTACGTTTTCGCCTCCCACTCCGCAGCTCCCTTGAAGTCTGCAGTGAGTGTTAAGGCACACATTCAAGAGCCATTGCATTGCGAGCGTGAGTTTACAGTGACTGGGGCTGTTGTAGGTGTATTAAAGGAGTTTGACACTGGGATTTAAAATTTGGGGGAGTAAGCTGAGCAGCATATGGTAAGTAGTGACATAACCTGCCCCTCTACATCAGTTTTACTTGTGTTCACAATGTGGCAGGTAGCATCTTTTTGCAGATTTATAGTGATACCCTATTAGTAGCAGAAGTAGAATCCCACCACATGAGATTTACATATGCAGCACATGGAAGAAGGCAGGTTAATGTTTGTTTTTCCTACTATCTACTAGGGTTTCCAGTTCTGGGTGTGGAAATATTTGGAAATTTGGGGTTGGGGCGCTAAGAGACCTCATCAGTGTACAGTGCTATACAGGCCATCCTCCAAAGCAGCCATTTTCTCCAGGGGAACTGATCACTGTTAGCAACTCTATCCCAACCATGTAGAAAACCTCAATGAAAGCTTTTAAACAGCAATTTACCCCTCTACCAACTCACATTAAAGTGGAAGAATTGATAGTTACACCCTTCTGTAATTTCATTTTAATAGAACATACCTTAAAAGTAGCAAAATGCATTAATAAAAAAGGCATGTTTTTCTTCTTATAACACAAAAAAGGTTTTTATTTAGAATACCAAGCATGTGAATCACCCCACCATCATTAAAAAGCTAATCCCTGTTGATAAATTCACTTTCTTCACCTACATATATATAGAGAAGAATGACAATACACAGAAGAATGTGAACAGAAACCTAACCTAGAGTAACTAAGCATACTGTTGTACTAGACAGCTCTTGGCTGCCCAGAATTTTGAAATGAAAATCCACCATTACTGAACCTGGATTTCTAAAGCTACTAAAGTTAGAATGATTTTAAACTTTTATCAAAATGCTAAAAACTGGTTCTTACACAGCTAGTTTGAAGCATGTTTTGCATAAAATATGTTCATGACTAACAATTGATAGTGAAGTCCACCAGAGCCCACCTCTGTGAAACGTAGCCTTTCTGGCAGGAAGTGAGGACAAAACCCAGCTAGAGTATTGTTCTGACTTTGTCCCAGTAAAGAGACAGTACCTTTCTTCCCAGCAGTAAGAAAAGCAGAAGAGACAAAAATTAGGCTGGAATCACAATATTCCCAACTCCCCGTGGACATTTACAATTATTTACACAACTTAGAGGTCACATTACAGCAGTAACTTTTTGGAGTCCTGAAGTATACATCAGTACAAAGTGTCCGTACACAACTGTTAGACAGATTGCCAGTACAGAGAATATACAAAAACACAGTATTGGTAGTGCTGCTTCTTCAGAGTCCAGCCACGTTCTTCTCCAGCTGCAAAACAATTGCCTTCAAATCTGGGTCCTTTGCCCAATTGACTCCACTTGCAGTAATAAGACTCTGAAACAGATCACAGTTAAACTACAGTCTGAGGATGTACATAACAATAACTTATACAGACTCATGCTCTCTATATTCTAAAAATAAACACAACTACTCTTTGCTTTAAAAGAACTTATTCCAGTTGGTTTCTGTTTCAGAAGTACTCATTCACCGTTAGGATGCTGCTGTTACATGTGATTTTGGCACAAATTTTGCAAAACTGTCAGTATGAGAACCACTTAAAAAGATTTTTCTAAGTTTCATACCATAGGTTGGATATAAAGAATTATGATGAAGAACTCTGCTTGTGGATGTGATTGCTGTACCTCCTTCCTCTTTTGGCAGCCCCCTGAAGGCAAGCAGTGGCAAACTGAAGGTCTGGAGACCCCACGGGCCACCGTAAGTCAGCTGCAACTTGACAGCCAAAAAAAAAAAAAAAGAGGAAGAGTTGTTCCCGAGGTTGGTTGGGGAATCCTTGAAGACAGCATGGAAAATTGCACAGAAATTATGGACCTTTCCCTTGGCGCAAGCAGGAGTGCCTTCTACTCAGACAAGTGCAAGTTACCAAGCTATATACCTGGTCATTTCCCATATATTTCCAATGAGTAACTGTATTTTGTCAATAGGCCATGAAATCTTATCTAAAAAAAATCAGATCATGGCCTTTGCTCCAGTAAGCAATTTTTACCAATAACTTAAAACACAAGGGGATGATACTTTCAGCGAGATGAGCTTATATAGATGTAATTTAACAAATCTGTCAGTTCTTTTAACAATTATTTTACCTGAAAAATATTTTGAATCAGTGTAGTCATCTTAATTTCCTGTTGCAGATTTTGACGAGCCTTCGTTAATATTTCTCCTACTTCCATATTTTCTAATTCATCTTTTTGTTTTCTCTTTGTTTCATGTATTTGCGCCAGTTTGCATTCCCCTGCTCTCTTTAGTGCTGTTAATTTAAAAGGGAAATAAGGCAATAAGCTTGCTAATTTTCAAACATATTAACCCTTTACTCTTGTACAAATACAAGAAGGAAGAGTGGCAAAGTCACCCAAGGCCCCCTCCCTTGCTGACCCCACTACCCACAAAGCATGCCATATTGCTCAGAAGGGTCTCGCAGTCCTCAGCAGTTGTTCTTTGGGGGAAAGCAGGAAGATCCATTTTTGTAAGCGCCTTCCATTTGTGGGAGTTTGGATCCAAGTCAAGATAACTATAATTTCATTTCCTTTTAAGAACTTACCTAGTCTGCTCTGCTTAACCTCGTTCAGTTTTTCTTCCAACTCACGAGAGTTCTGCATTAAAAATAGTTTTTCTTGTCAAAAGACAGTACAGCTACAAAAACTTTTATTAAAGATATAAAGCAATGCTCACACTACAACCTGTTTTAATATGCTTTTACAGGCAATGAGCTGTAACATTTTAATATAAAGTCTACATACCTGCTGGGATTTAAGTATTGCCGTACTCAGCAACATGATGTGCTTCATGGTATCCCAGATCAACCTAATGAGAGCATACACAAACATGAGTATGATTTCATAAGTGTCAAGGCCAAGCTAGGCAGACCTTAAACAAAACCTTAGCAGTTTGGGGGCTTGGAATGGAAAATGAGTATTGGGAAGGAAGGGGCATTTTGCCCATACAGTCTTCCACTGCCAATCTACTCCTCCCTCCCATAAAGTTTCACGCACAAATTACTACCAACACACATTTGGAATCCCATGAAGTGATAAGCAGTTTGGGGGAGAGAGGAGCTGCAGCAGAAAATAGTGGTCAAGAAAAGTATGCAGCCCCTTGCCCCACAACACTACTTGTCTGACCCAAGTCACCCATCATGAGCTGCTCCTCCTTAGAAAAAAGTCTCCAGGGTTTTCTTAAATGATTTTGCATGTAGCATGAAGTTTGTCTCTTAGTTAACTTCAAGTGGCGCCCACATCCTTTAAGTTAATACTGACTTCATCCCCTTTTTAAACTGTTCATTAAAGAAGACTTCAAAGATCTGCTGTTATCAAAAGTAATGAATGCTAATATTGGAGTATTCTCTTTACAATGCCCCCCCCCCCGAAATCTGAGACCACTTTGTTATATTAATGTGTGCTGCCCCTGCTAAGCACTAGACATCAGGGAGCCAGCAACACTAAATAGCAAGTGGTAACAGAGCCATCTTAGATGCAGTAATCATCATCTGAAATTATGGTTGCACAATCCATATGTTAAGAGTGCCGGCCATTCTGACTGCCCATGTGAGAAGGCCATATGAAATCCAGAATGAGCAAGCCAGCCAAACCCTGCTTTTGCCTAAATTTCCACTGCACAACTGGGGGGTGGGCATGATCCACCTACCCACTGAATGGGTTCTAGACAGCAGCATAAACCAATTGTAAAATTGCTCTGTATTCCATAAAGACAATTTCAGGGTCTCTAGATGCACAGTAGGTAATTTACAGCACTGGCTGCAGTTACAAGTCTTTGTGGCAACATGTGAACAAATCAGTTACATCAGATGCTTAGGACACTGACTGTAATTATATTCTCAGAATTTTCATTCTCGCTTTAAGCACTAGAAAAATCCATCTACATTCTCGTTGCTCAGCTAGATAATCACTTATTTGCATGCCCATACTGCAGCACAGCCATAAATAGGCAAGTGAAAACTTTATGATGGAATATCTAAGTCAGGTGGTTTAAGAAGTCTTCTTGTTTTAGACTTTCAGATTCCCTTACTTGGAGTCAGCATCGTCATTCCTCAGTTTGGTTCTGAGGGCTTCAGTTACTTGGATCCTTTGAAGAACAGAGAAATCACAAGAGAAAATGTATAAATACTCTAAATATTTTTACAGAACACATTACAACTATGTAATGAGTATTTGTTTGTCTCCTCATCTATACATTTCTATACACAAATGGTGTACCATAATCCAAAACGTGGGCGTTCTTATAACTAGCTATAAGGATGGATCCTAGCATTTTTTTTCTTCAGCACCTGTGTGTTCTTTCTGTGCCAAGGCACCTTCCACTGACATAAAACATCCTTTTACTCCTTGAATGTAGCCTCCAAGTTTGTCACACAGCATATTTATCCATATGAGAATTGCACATTTTATGGTATTACCATCTTGTGCTTACCTCATAAATGATCCTTCCTTGCCCAAGAGGGACTTGAAAGTCATGAGAAATCTATGACCTTTTACTTGGAAAATATAACTATACTCTGAAACAAATACAGTGCCTTTGTGGGGTACTGGAACGGAGACCAAAATATAAGCAAGTTTTCTCATAACACAAAATCTTGGTCTTTGAAAAACCAACAATGGGCTGGATTCTACAATTTCATTCCATTGGTACCTGTGTACTCCTCTAGCACAAGCTACCTTCCACTGACATAAGACAGTTGACAAGCTCTGACAAATCAAGCAGAGAGTTGGGCATTGCTTACACCACTGACTTTAGTGGGCATTCAGCCCATGTAATGTTTGCTAAATTACAGCTTGGATGTTAAGCACTTCCCTCTATAATACTCCTCCTTTCATACACTGTAGTTTGAAGTGCCCAGCAACAAACATATCTTTACCTCTGCAATGCCAGTGTTTTGTTTTGGTATGAAACCTTCACCTCTTCCATTTCTCTTTCCAAATCTTCAATGGAACTAAAAACAAAATGGATGACCATTTAACAAATGATGCCCATAACACCTGAAACATACCATCCATAGAAGGTGCTTCTTCTACTATTGAATTCTTATAAAAGCCCGAATGACATTTTCCCCAATGTTTCTCTGCTTTGATATCAACTTTAGTGCCGTGTTCAGAAATACAGGTGCCAAGACCTGTAGAAGTGAAAAATTAACATTCCTGACATAAGTACATTGACTCAGAAATTCATATATCTTCATCTTGCTGTGAACGGTACCAACAGCAACTGGAGCTTTTCTTAAAGTTGCAAGATGAGAGTGTGCAAGGACATGGAAACCTACTTCCCTCTAGCCCTGAAGTTAATGGAAATAATCTTGAGACTGCATGGTCAACATGGGGGGTGGGGTGGTAGTAGATAGGATTTCCAGTGCACAGCATACATAACCCATTGCTCTTCACTGTGACCATTATACAACCTATGCAATATCCTCAGTTTTCATAATGTACAGAGGTCACAGAACTTGGGTTTTCTTCCTGAAGAACTTTCATTTTCTTAAACAAAAAAAGATATTTGAACATTATTTACATTGCTCTCAAATACACTTCCTTAGAAAAAAGCTCCATTGAAACTGGGCTTTACTTTCAAGTGTATCACAGAATTACCACGTAATTACACAGCAAGTACAAAGAAAATACTTCATTAATTAAACTTGGATCTTTCCTTTCTTCCTGCATAGAATTCAAGGCAGCATATAGAGGGTTCCCAGAAGGTCTCCTACACAGATATTATTTCCTATGCTTCCCAGACTTTTATCTGCATTGCTTCAGAAACGTTACTCTATCATGTGCCTTCCTTTTTAGGAGCTACATAATTTAATCAAGAGCTCCTAATATACCAAGCTAAGAACATAGGAAACTTTGAGCTGTATGGTTAAAGCCACAACTAGTTCTGTAAAGACAAAATTACCCTCTTTGAACCGGTCTCTAGAGGTGGCATATAAAATTCCCTAAAGAAACAGGAATCCATGAAATTCTGAACTGAAATGCTTCTTGCTCTTTTTCCTCCTCAGGTACTTGTATTACGGCTAGTCCTTTGCCTTTTGATTGTCCTCTTAAATGCAAAGGTCTAGTCATTCACTTCCTGGGTTTGCATAAGACAAAAATAATAAATCCAAGTGCAACAAGTTGCAACAACTTAGCAAAGGACATACCTTTCAACTACTTTTTCATCTATAACTTCATCTGAAATGCTTTCTTCATCTGCCAGACAAAAATGATATGTTAAAGACAATGAGAAAAAAGACCACCACCCTCTCAGCATTACACAGTGAGCTATGATGGCCAAAAGCCCCTATCTTGATCTTTTCAGTAAAAACAAACAAAAACTTTATAAACAAGCACCTCAGCATGCAATTTTTTTACTTCAGCAACTGAAGATATAAAAAAGTTTGCAGTAATGTTTTTATGATGGTGAACACACTTACTTGCATTAATTGCAGTATTGTATTCGATAAGATGCTGTTTTATTTGTTTCCTTATTCTACAGTGGAAAAATAAGAAGAAAATCAGACAAGAACAAATAATGTATAGCTATAGCAAAGTTATGTTGCTCCTATATATTTTTACTGCAATCACTCCTGACTTGATATTAGGCCTATGTTCAGTTGAGCATTTTATAGCAGGCATTAGGAAACTTTGCTGGAATTCGATTCAAACCCAGAAGTTGATTGATGCTTATTTTAATAGAGTAAAAAGACCAAGAATTACTTGTAACTCGTTTGTAAAAAATGTTTGTAATGTAAAGTTTTGCGTACAGGAAGGGTTCTCAATCTTTTTTTTTTTGGGGGGGGGGGGTTCGACCACCTTCCTAAAATGAATTCACTCTCATGCATTTTTTTCTTGCATCAGGGTAGAAATCTGCCACAGCACTGTGCATATTCTCCTTTCCCACTAGAATTTACTCAGGTGTTTTATCTTCCAGATCTCTGCTTGCACGGCTTTCATCTAGAGGCCAACCAATGAAATGTTCCCTTCTCTCCATAAATCCATCATATGAAACTAGAAAAACACTCATTTTCATATCAAGGATCAATGTCCTCCCCCTTCCACTATTAAACACTGCTAAGGCTCTATCTGCTGTCCTTTACTCTGCAATACCATCTGAAGCAGGATGTTCAATACTGGCTCTGTTCACTTCTTTAAAATGTGTATTTATTTCATATATAGCCTGCCTTTCTCACTCAGACTGAAGGCAGGTTACAAAATAGAAAACAAAGACAATTCAATTAGACAATATTTACTCTCACAATAGATCCTGTTCTTGTTATGATAATATAGTTGCAATATGTACTTATATAGACCTTAATGAGCAGTAGGGACTGGAATATCGGCAGTAGTATTTCACCTCCAGACGTTTATACGCCCATGCACTACCAGAGTCACAATGTATATCTTGACTTACTTCGTTTATACTCCTCTTTTCTCCCCAGTGGAGATGCAAAGCAGTTTACATCGCCAGGCACACACACCTACCTCACAGCGTTGCTGCGGGGGTAAAATGGAGGAGAATTCTGTAAGCCGCTTTGAGTCTTCAATGGGAAGAATGTAAACAAATTAAAAAAATTCATCGCTGGTCCCTAGTCATGCTCGGAAGAGTAGCAGATTGGGCAGCCTTCTCCAAAGTTCCCTTGTACTTTTGCTACTCCAGGGCAAAACCGCACCCCCGCCCGCTACCGAGAAAAGGGACGTACCGAAGGAGGGTGACCAGGTCCGGACTCGTCCCATCCTCGCTCACAAGTGTGCGGGTAGGCGTCGCTTCTGCAGCCGCCTCTTCAGAGGAACCGTTAAAGGCGGCTGCTGGTGCCGGTGCCGCTGCCTCCCCCAGGCAGACAACTGTGTTGCCCGCTCCTCCCAACAGCTCCATTCCCCACGACTGGAGCGGCCTCTCCTCGCATCGGCTCTCCGCCGCCTTTTCGAAAGGCCCGCTGCCTGACGTCATCGACAACAGCCATCGACTGCTCCTGCCGTGCAGCTAGCCCCGCCTCTCGCCTGATACAAGAGCAGCGGCGGCGCTCTCTCCTCTGGCCTCCTGGGCGGGAATAGGTCAGCCGTCCAATAGCTACAGCCATACACTTCCGAGAACCAATTGAATGGCAAAGGGAATCCGCCATGTGCGGGGGAAAAGAAGACCTCACCGAGAAGGCAGCTGTGCCGCACTTTAAATGGTGAAGGAGAAGTAGAAAGGATTTTAGGTCGCTCCACACTTTCTCAACTAGAAAGTTCTTAAGACTCAAACATTATATTTTGCAGTCTGCTTGCCTGAATAGTTATGTCACATTTGTAATCCCCAAATTCCAGTGAGAAATATACAACTATAAGTGAAAATAAATAAAATCTAGCCCATCACACTGTTTAACACAGCAGCCAACCAGTTGTCTCTGAGGGCCAGAGCACAAGGCTGAAGCCATTGCTGCTGTTGCCTCCTCTTAGGTGCTGGCATTCAGACGTTTGCCACCTCTACGGAAGTTCCCTTTAATCACTGTGGATAGTAGCCATTGATGGACCTCTCTTTTTGGTGTAGTGGTTAAATGTGCAGACTCTAATCTGGGAGAAGCGGGATTGATTCCCCACTCCTCCACTTACAGCTGCTGGATGACCTTGGGCAAGCCATAGTTCTGTCAGAGCTGTCCTTGAAAGAGCTCTCTCAGCCCCACCTACCTCTCAGGGTGTCTGTTGTGGGGAAGGGAAGGGAAAGGAGTTTGCAAACCACTCTGAGACTCCAAGTGAAGGGTGGGATATAAATCCAATCTCTTCTTTTAAATTTATAATTTATTAGAACTTGTTTTTCAATACATGAAATGTAGAGCGTTATCTAACAACATTTTCCTTAACAAATGAGGACCTTCATTAATCTCTCACCCCCTTTTAAAGCCATCCATGCCCATGGCCATCATTACACCTACTGGGCATGAGTTCCAGTTTAATTACTGTGTAAAGAGGAATTCCTTATCTGTCCTGAACCTCTTTCCCAATTACTGCATTGGGAAATATCTTACCTAAAGGTGGCACTACCTAGTTTAGATTTAGGATTTCTAATTCAAAAAGGTTATTGAGTATTTTAGCTAGATCTGGACCTCCCCACCTTTTTACTAGTTTTACTAAACCAAGGCATGTTATGTGTACTTTCTTCTGTTGCTTGAATTGTATGTATCATGTCTAACTCTTTACTTTCACTGACTAGATTTGAAAATTAATTTATCCTTCATGGCCATTTCATCCTCACCCACTCAGACTGGATTACTTTTTAACTGGATCTTACTTTACCGGTAACCTGTGGAAAAAAACTGGGTGTGACCTGCCTCATAAGTCACTTTGTGTAACAATAACTTTTTGAGTCCTTTCAGTGGGACACCCAAATGGAACAATTTTCAACAGGGCTGTCAGTTAAAACTTCTCTTCCTCTGTAACTTAGTTTATAGAGGCAACTGCAAAATTACACACTCCATGCAAAATTGAAATGAGGCCTACCTCCCAGTTTATGCAGAAACATTAAGGTATCAGAAGACTATATTTAACGGTAGGGAAGGAAGATGGGTGTGGGAAGGCAATTTCAAAACAAAAACAATGGGGGGGAAACATAAGAGTTCTTGGAATTCATGTTGGTCAATGACTTGCATGGTTCTTTTAAACCATTTTTAAAAGGTGGTAAGTAATCACTTTCTGTTGCCTCTTTTCTCTTGTAGGGTATGTTCAGACGGGCCATTCAGTCCGCTTTCGGCACACTTCAGTAACGTTTTTTATATCCATGTTCACACACCCAACATCTGTGCACCATCCCCAGCCGTCGCTTTCCGGCTCAAACCCCCTTTAAAATGGAGTATTTTGTTACCAGGTCCCCAAGTGGTGTTTTTCTGATTCCCCAATTCTAGCCACTTTTCTGACATCTGATCGCTCCTGTGGTGTCGAGCCGCTTCTGCTCAGAAGCCCGAGGCTTCCGCTCTTCGCCCATTTTATTTTAGCATCGGCGGTATGCTCACAGGCAGAGCTCCGCTCCCGCATTATTAAAAACAATGTTTAAACGGTGCCTAATTTTGTTGGTTAGACAAGTTCAAGATCTCATGGAGACCAGTTTCGTGGTAAAAGTTTAAAGGGAAGTGTTACAGCAGTTGGGTTGAAGTGGAAATTGTTGCTCTGTGCATGTGCGAAAATTTTAATTCTACAGATGGCTGTCTGTGCACATGCCCAAACTGAGAGAAAAAACACCGACGCACGCGATCCTGAACAAGGTGAGTGTGATCGCGATCCTCCAGGTTAAAAAAATGCATTGGGACTGGAGCAATTTAAACCGCTCCCAGCACGCTGTCTGACTTCACCCGTAGAGTGGTACAGTAGAAAAAGCAGGGTGTTTTTGCCCTTTAAGTATAATTGTCACAAGCTTCCAATAGAGTTACTCCAGAGAGAATGAAAGTACTATCATTCCAGAACTGAAGAGTCTCTGTGCAGGACTCCTGTATGCCCTATTCCACAGACAGTAAAGGCAAAACTGGAACCAACAAGAGTGTCACATACTGAGCATTTTTTTTTAACTTCAGATCAATGCTCCCTCTAAGCTGTGGAGTCTTGTGAGCAAAAAATCTTTGTGAGCTACTAGCATGAAGGTTGTGAGCAAGCGATTTGGCTACTGCATAAATTAGTTCGCTCTGAAGCCATCCTTCCTGAGCTAAGACAAAAATGTGTGAGCCAGATACTAAAAAACTGTGAGCTAGCTCACACTAACTCAGCTTAGAGGGAACACTGCTGCAGATGTGTTTCAGGCCAGACATTGTTGGAGGGAGTGAAGTAGATGACAGAAGACCAGTGACTTTTATGATACAGCCTGCTAGGACTAGAGCTCTGTTCAGATACTAAGGACCCCATTTTGTGCAGGATGCTCTGTCCCTGACCTACACCAGAATGGGATTGGGGAACTGAATTCGGGCCCCTTTCTAGGGTCTACCCTGCAAGAATTGGTGTAATGTGAACTTGACAAAAGTATTACCTCTCAGCCCAAAAATATTACCAAAACAAGTCACAGAGTAAGGGTAAGTTGTTATATTGCATGCACATATACAAAACAAGACCAATGCTACTGGTCTTGTTACAGTTAAGCTAGGGGACTTGTCTAGACCATACTTAGAATAAGGTTTCATTTGGGAAAAGTTAATATTTTGCCCCATGTCCTTTCTGTAACGACTGTTACTTTACAAGGCTTGTACTTTTGCCTTGAGGCAGGTAGATGGACTGAGGGAGGGAGTGATGCCTGCTAAGAGTTACAAAAGCTCTGTTAACGGATTGCCCAACCTCCTATTTAAATGTGTGCTATAATCTTCCATTATACACAGGCTACCTCTTGAACATCAGATCACCCAGAAGGCTTCATAGCACATCTGCATGAACCTACTTTGGCTCAGACCAAAGCTCCAGTTTGCAGATACTTACCACTAAGATACCCACTCCACAGCATATTTTTTACCTTCCATCAATGGAGTGGGCAGTATAAAAGGACAAGAAAAATAGTAATCTGTGGAGAACCTTGAGTGAGACCTCGCATTTTTTTGCTCAGCCATTAGAGCAAGCTAAGTTGGTTGTGGTTGTTCAGATGCACAGTCGAGTGCGAGTCTTTGGGACCCCCGGCTCTCCTGTCTTCCATTGTCCCCCGGAGTGTGTTTAACTTCATGTTTGTTGCATTGATAACCCTGTAACAATCTCATCCTTTGCTGTTCCCTTCTTCTACCTTCAGTCTTTCCTAGCATCAGGGCTTCTCCCGTGAGTGCTCCCTTCTTTGAGCTTCAGCTTGGTCCTTCCAGGGAAGAGTCAGGGTTGATTTTCTTTAGGATTGACTGATTTGATTTCCTTGCAGGCCAAGGGACGCTCAAGAGTCTTCTCCAGCACCATAATTCAAAAGCATCTATTCGTCGGCACTCAGCCTTCCTTATGGTCCAACTCTCACAGCCATACATTACTACTGGAAATATCATGGCTTTGACCATATGGACTTTTGTTGGCAGGGTGATGTCTAATTTTTATTATGCTATCTAGGTTTGCCATCACTTTCCTCCTAAGGTGCAGGCATCTTTTAATTTCATGGCTGCAGTCACCGTCTGCACTGATCTTATGGGTCTGAGATGTTTGTCTCAGATCTCATTTAAGCATCTTTAGTCTAAAGCGGCGGTGTAAGTAATTACCAGTTGCTTACTGCTAATTTCACTGTAGAAGGCAAGTTTAATAGCTCTAAGTTACATGCTAAAGTATAACATCCCTTATTTGTAGTGCTCTTCTGCAACCTATGCACAATAAGGCTTCAGTTCCAATTTAAGGTTATCTAACCATGACCTCTCTTTAATTAAGTCATCAAAAGTGCTACAGTAAAAAGGAAATGTTTATTAAAATTTTAAGTAACAATATATTTATATATACACACACTTATGAATAGTGACACATGGTGTCAACTTTGTCCCGAGTATCTATTTTGATAGTCCTTTCGCCAGATCCTGTATGATTACAGCATTCAGTGCTGGAAGGGTGCTGACTTTAGCATGCTTGCTGCTGGCATACTTGTTCTTGATAGTCTGCAAAGAAGACAACCTTATGTTAATTCTTAAAGCTTAGCACTGTCACTATAGAACCAGGACCATATTATGGAACAAGAACAGTAATCATAGTCCAAGCATACATATCTCTTCTGATTTTTTGTAGTAGTTGCTATTAACAGAGTCCCCTCACCCACCCCAGACCTTCAGTCTTGTGGTTCACTATATTTGCCAATGCTTTGAAAGTTCTCTTAGGGCTCTCATGAGGAAACAAATTCATTTTCAGCACAGCTTAACTACAGCTTAACTACAGTTAGACTACATAAATCTGCAAAGGTTGTGTTTAAAAGGATTTCCCTTCTATAATCTAAGGCAGTGGTCGTCAACCTTTCCGGACACAGGACA